CAGAGATTTGCCACCAACCATTTCTTCACGAAAAAATATACCAAAAATATTGAAAATAAAACTTATAGTTTGCTTACCTGGTTTTGTTTGACATTTTGATTAAATTTATTGGCGATGACCCTTGTATGAATTTGCAAATACCCTCTTACCACAATGACTCATAAGGGTGTCATAAAAGACCCTATCAGAACAAACTTATTGCAGGCATGAAACACTTGAGATAGTGTGATATTGCCTAATTATTGTAGTGTATAAAATATGAACGTTCATAAGATTTAATGAATAATTTGGCATTTCGACAAATTTTACATATATTTCTTGTAAGTGTATGCATATAATTAATACAGCTATTGTAGCTCGAAGTCTGCATTTAATGAGTGAGGCAGTTGTCAATCCTTTTCATGCTGGCAAGTTAAATAAACAAATTGAATCTGACTAGAAAGGTTTAATACAGTTCTTGGTGGCTTTCATGAAGCTACTTACCAATATAAATTTATGCCGGAGAGAGGACTTGTTGATAGACATGAACAACATCTGATACCGAATCAGCCACCCTGACTGCAAAGTCAGCATTAAAAAAAAAAGCTAAGTTAATGAACAGCACAATAAATACAAGTTGTATGGCGAACCTATAACCACTTAATTACAAAAAGAAGCCACGGTAACTTCTGTTAACAGTTAACTTAGAATTATTTTCTTGGTGTTTTATGGGTACGCTCAGTTTTTCAAATAAGAAATGAATATATTTACAACTCTAATTCTACAGCTTTAGTTACAATACTTGCTAATGGTAAGTACCCTAAATATAGCCCCTCAAAAGTAGGCACTACCCCCGATCCCTATTCAAAATTCCAGGTCTTTGTCGTAGCCCCCACGGCGGACTCTACGACGGCAAGTTATCTCCCTGAGGGGACCCACTATATGCACTCAGCCTTCTCCCCGTCTCGTCCGTACTTCTCTGTCCAAGCAGACGCAGAGCTAACATTATGAGGTTCGTATGGTTTATTGTTGAGTCAGGCATCTCTGTATGGGTTCTATTCTGTAGAGTTACATGGATTATGTGGTTATAATATGCCTCTTCTTATTGGGTAAGTGTAAAAAAATGTGCTCTTATTCGGGGGTTATAGAGATCAAGAATGGACTAAGCCCTCACCAAACATCTGGTCTGCTAAGTACTTCCGTCCGTCACGTCCTGATCACAAAATACTTGTAACTCGGTGTTATCTATTGCTGCTCATAAACTACTGCGTCCTGCAATTTCATCCAAACTTTACAGGACTACGATTCAAGTACCAAGTCTAGTTGTGCTAAATGATTGTTCGAAGCGAGGTGTGTTCTATGGTTCAGTGATTTTTGTCCAGACGTTGATATCCTCTATTATTAATTTTTAAATTTTGTAGCCTCGACCATTCGATTAAGAATAAGTCCACCTCTCGCGTGAGTTGGCCAGTCACCCGAATGCGCTCGATCGTACCACTTAATGTGTGCGTTTGAACACTTTTGCTTGCCTGTGCGACACCACTTGCTATCACCATCATTACCGCGACACCACTTAGACAGTGAGTAGAATTGGTAAATCGATCAACGCATTTTGCACCAAGAACTTATGGCCCCTCCGTGTGTTAACTTCGGGACTATATCGTTCCGGATAAGAATAAGATATGACGGCTATTTGCGAGCGTCACATTATGCACTGTGGACACTGTAAAGGCCACGAGCTGCAGCCGCTCGACCACCAAGGCGTCGGGTAACCACCTTATGTTAAAGTTTTTGTAACTACCAGTTCACAATCACTTTATCAAAGTCCAGTAGACATTATGCGCTTTGAAACTTTGCCCCCGCCCCCACACTTGTTCACCATCATGACCCCAACCTGTAGACAGGAGGAGGTAACTCTGTCAAGCATTTTGACAGAATTATGCCCTTTTTTCGACTTAGAATTTACGTTAAAGTTTTTGTAATAGTTCAAATATTTTCAAAGTCCATTGACATATGGCTTTGAAACTTTGCACACTTGTTTGAACATCATGAACCCCAACCTGGAAACAGGAGGAGGTAACTCTATCAAGCATTTGACAGAATTATGCCCCTTTTTCGACTTAGAATTTACGTTAAAGTTTTTGTAAATAGTTCAAATATTTTCAAAGTCCATTGACATATGGCTTTGAAACTTTGCACACTTGTTCACCATCATGACCCCAACCTGTAAACAGGAGGAGGTAACTCTATCAAGCATTTTGACAGAATTATGCCCCTTTTTCGAGACTTAGTATTTACGTTAAAGTTTTTCTGTAATAGTTTCTTCAAATATTTTCAAAGTCCATTGGACATATGGCTTTGAAACTTTGCCACACTTGTTCACCATCATGACCCCAACCTGTAAACAGGAGGAGGTAACTCTATCAAGCATTTTTTTTTTACTATCAAGCACTAAGAATAGGTCGAGCGTTGCTGTCCTACCTAACAGCTCTTTGTTCGACTTAGAATTTACGTTAAAGTTTTTGTAAAAATAGTTCAAATATTTTCAAAGTCCATGACATATGGCTTTTGAAACTTTGCACACTTGTTCACCATCATGACCCCAACCTGTAGACAGGAGGAGGTAACTCTATCAAGCATTTTGACAGAATTATGCCTCTTTTTCGACTTAGAATTTACGTTAAAGTTTTTGTAATAGTTCAAATATTTTCAAAGTCCATTGACATATGGCTTTGAAACTTTGCACACTTGTTCACCATCATGACCCCAACCTGTAAACAGGAGGAGGTAACTCTATCAAGCATTTTTTTTTTACTATCAAGCACTAAGAATAGTCGAGCGTTGCTGTCCTACCCGACAGCTCTTGTTCGACTTAGAATTTACGTTAAAGTTTTTGTAATAGTTCAAAATATTTCAAAGTCCATTGACATATGGCTTTGAAACTTTGCACACTTGTTCACGCATCATGACCCCAACCTGTAGACAGGAGGAGGTAACTCTATCAAGCATTTTGACAGAATTATGCCCCTTTTTTTCGGACTTAGAATTTACGTTAAAGTTTTTGTAATAGTTCAAATATTTTCAAAGTCCATTGACATATGGCTTTGAAACTTTGCACACTTGTTCAACATCATGACCCCAACCTGTAAACAGGAGGAGGTAACTCTATCAAGCATTTTGACAGAATTATGCCCCTTTTTCGACTTAGAATTTACGTTAAAGTTTTTTGTAATAGTTCAAATATTTTCAAAGTCCATTGACATATGGCTTTGAAACTTTGCACACTTGTTCAACATCATGACCCCAACCTGTAAACAGGAGGAGGTAACTCTATCAAGCATTTTGACAGAATTATGCCCCTTTTTCGACTTAGAATTTATGTTAAAGTTTTTGTAATAGTTCAAATATTTTCAAAGTCCATTGACATATGGCTTTGAAACTTTGCACACTTGTTCACCATCATGACCCCAACCTGTAAACAGGAGGAGGTAACTGTATCAAGCATTTTTTTTACTATCAAGCATTAAGAATAGTCGAGCGTTGCTGTCCTACTGACAGCTCTTGTAAAGTTTGTCCGGACTACTTCTCTTATACCACTAATGCAATTTCAATGAAACTTTACAGGATTGATCTGTAGCTCAAGACCTTGCGCATATTGCACGGGTTTTACGGTTGAATGATTTTTGGCCGAGTTATGGCCCTTTGACAAAAAGGTGTTTTTTTCTGTGTGTTGCCAGATACACAAAAGCTTGTCCGGACTACTCCTCATAAAACTACTGGTGCAATTTCATCCAAACTTACAGGAATGATCAGTACCAGGTCTAGTTGTGCATATTGTCAGCATTTTTCCGGTTCAATGATTTTTGTCAGAGTTATGGCCCTTTAATAATTTTTATTTTTAAAGTTTGTCCGGACTAAACTTCTCTTATACCACAAATGCAATTTCAATGAAACTTTACAGGATTGATCTGTAGCTCAAGTCCTTGCGCATATTGCACGGGTTTTCCGGTTGAATGATTTTTGGCCGAGTTATGGCCCTTTGATAAAAAGGTCTTTTTTTCTGTGTGTTGCCAGATACGCAAAAGCTTGTCCGGACTACTCCTCATAAACTACTGGTGCAATTTTATCCAAACTTTACAGGAATGATCAGTACCAAGTCTAGTTGTGCACTGTCCGTCTGTCTGTCTGTCTGTCACAAAATTTGTCCCAACATGAAATTGGCCATCATGAGGCGACTCATGTGATTACTGATCGCTCTTGTGTATATTTCTGCTCAAATCTATTATTAAGGGCATTCTTTGACTTTTTATGGAATGATAAATATATGTTGCATTAAAGGTTCAATGATTATTGCTATATCAATACATCTTCTGAATTCAAAATATAACATTCATCATGTTTAAATGTTCAATTTCGCTCAAGTTGGTGCTTACGTGGACAGTTGCTTGCACCAGAGACATAGATAACATCTCTGCTTGCACTTAACACTACAGTCCATGAACAGGCTCAATCCAACCAACTCTGCAACATTCGACTCTGTTTGCAACTTTATTCTGATACATCATGTTGGGTACATCAAGGTGTATAAACTTGAAACTGCACACACTATTTCTATAAAATTGGCTTAATTACCTTCATTTGTTAAGAACTTTATTAATTCACAGAAAAGATTTTGCATGCAAGTTCAGTCTAATCAGTCACTGCAGGTATAACTTAAAACTTCACAAATGTCTTTTGGATCGTAGATGTAGGTCATTGATCAAGACCCTTAACTGTAGCATGGATTTTTAAACAGAATTACCCTTCATAAACTTAGAAAATTCCTTAGACTTGTGGGGCAATGCATCCATTTTCAACAGGTTACTGGCATATGAAATGATGAAAATTTTACAAGTATTACAAGTATTCAAACTGTTAGAGCAATGTTTTAAAGTCTGCTTTTTTGCCATAAAACTTGTCTGTTTGCCTTTTCAATTATACACCAAAATGATGTTTTGTACTTAAATTCCTAATTGCATTTTTCTAGATTTTTAGCAGTCAAATAGTCTTTTAGTGTATAATACATAAGCTGATATAACTTCATGTACTATTTCAGATTGAAGGCCCAGATTCCAGATATTAAGAAAACTTTAGATATAATTGCACACTTGCAGACCAAAAAGGTAAAGTCATTATGATTTCTGTTTATTTAAACATTTCTGCCAAAAGGTACATTTATACATATATTCATACTGTTGTACTGTATATTTTGTGTTGTTTTAGAAGTCATTACATCGTTCAGATTATAACTAATCTATTGTCATGTATTTGCGTTTTATAGAATGACACAAATCTATAGAAAATATGCAATTGTTATACTGGTAGTAACTTATTAAACCCAATTTATCAACCTTTAATAATGTAATAAGGAAAGTACATGTATAGAATAATAAAAATAAATTAATTAAATGTAACAGAAGCAGTTGTTTTCACTATATTATATAGAATTTATTATTTCATTTTTTTCTCTTTTAACTTTATTTGTCAAACATCAGTGACATTTCCCTCTTAAAACACATACTAAAAATTAGATAAATTATATTATAGGCTATATTATTTGGTAAAAATAATTGTAATACAATTGATTAAAAGTAACATGTATGTTAAATATACCATCAATTTTTTGTAAAGGTTGATAAAGAAGTTATAAATGCATAAATAAGAATTCATCAAAATTCATAATAGGAAATATATGAATGAGATGTTATTAAGTTTGTATATATTATTATTTTAATGATTATGGATATATTTCAGAATTCCAGTGAACCAATGGAAACTAGGTTTTTATTGTCAGATCAGGTCTATGCTAAAGCTAGAGTTCCGCCTACAGATAAAGTCTGCTTATGGTTAGGAGTAAGTATGATTAAGATTTTCAAAGCCTTAAAACACTAAATTTTCATGTTGTCTTTTCATACGCCCAAAGAAATTTCTGTGTATAATGTCATGCACTTGGCAGTCCAGTTGGCAGGTCAGAAAATTAGTGAGATTTGGCATGTAGCATCAATTTTCTACAAAAGTTAACATCATTAATCATTGAGGTAAACATTGGCCCTACCATGAGGGTGACATGCTTTATGGATACACACATATATAATCTCATTGTGGATAACTACAGAGCTTATATATTTGGCATGTAGTATAGTCATTCAGGGGGGGGGGGGAAGTTTCTAGAATGGGTCTTGTTGATATATGAATGATGTAAAATTTCACTTATCTTGAATCCATCAGTTAGCTTAGGGAAGATGAATGATTCTATCCAATTGCAGGTGTGTATATGTACTTGAAATGTTACATTTTGGGAGTTTCCTCTGCTAGCAAAGTTTAAAAGTCACCTTTAAGTTTATGACATCAATGTCGTTGGTTTGAAATGAAATCCAATCGCAAAAATAGAGTGGTTTAGAAAAAGTGTCCCTGGCACGTACATGTGGTAAATCGAAATAGTTTTATATGAATACAAGCTACAGAATGTAGTAAAGACTGACACTTTATTTATTTCAGGCGAATGTAATGTTAGAGTATAACCTAGATGATGCTGAAGCATTACTTCAGAAAAATCAGGAAGTGGCCACTAAAAGTTTAAAGCAAGTCGAAGATGAACTTAGTTATATAACAGAGCAAACTACTACTCTAGAAGTTAGTATCCTTTTTTATGAAAAAAGTAAAACAGTTACGGATAAAGTTAAGGTAAGTATATTTTTTTTCAACATCTACCCTACAGGAATCACAAGTGATAAGCTTTTGCAGACAGACCAGCCTGCACCTTTCTGAAGTCAGACCAGGATTTATACTTGGCTGACTAACTTTAAATTTTCATCCTGATTTACCTAAAATTTATATTGGACAGTTCTAAAAAGCTGAACCAGTCGTTTAAGAAATACATAAATTTAACCAAGCTTACATATCAGTTTCCTAATGAAAGCTTATTGTTAAGGTAGAATAGTAATTTATGAGGAACATTTGCTCCTTAACCAATATTTAGATATGGCTCGTGTATATAATTGGGATGTAAAACGTCGGCAAGCTGAACAAGCTTCCAAATCATCATAGCAGATTATTTAATACACCTCCCAGTCAGGTTGTACATAGCATCTGAACAACTCTTCAATATAATTAACACAAATTCTAATGTTTCCATGGACTCACAGATGATATAAATTAAAACTTTTATGGACAAATGCAGCTTATACAACTTAAGACCTTTATGTACAAGTGTAGACGGTACAAATTCAGACATTCGAGGACACAAGTTATGGAGTGTACATTGTACAAATTAAGACTTTCTTGGACACAACAAGTTCTGGATAGTAGATACAATTTGAAATTTTCATGAGCAACAAATAACTCAAGTATAGATAGTAAAACTTGAACTTTCACGGACAGCAATTAGCTCTGGAGTGCTGAAAATTAATTCTGATTAAAACAAGGATTTGGTGTGCCATCATCTTACAAAGTTATGAAAAATCTGGATTTTTAGTTTACATGAAGAGAATTTGAACTTTATAAAAACAATTTAAGGCATAATTTCAATAAAAAGATAAAAAAAACTAACCTTGGATCATAAAAAAACTCCTCAAACCCAGATAATCAATTTGCTTTATTAATATGGACATATTCACGGCCGGACTCTTATGTGTTCATGGACTAAGGGAGTATATAAAATTGAACACTATCTTATTTAAGTCATAATAAACTTTCGCTTTATATGCATTCAGAATTTCTGAAATCATTTGCTAATCAATGACAGGGCTGAATTGTGTTCTTATTTTTTTCATAATGGATAAGCTCTGCTTTTTGTTACTCAGTTGTGTGTGTGTGCGTTTGTGACATTTTTTGTAATTAAAAAATTAACTGTATTGCTTTATAACAGAAATTACCATTTATGTGCTATCCCTTATTTTAATGCTGAGAAGTTTTGAAACAAGCCTCATTTTCAGTTTTGTTTTCAGTTTTGCAGATATGTAATATAAGAAGATAATTGACTTAAAGGAAATAAAACCCAATATAACTTATTAAATGAAATGAATTCTGATATCCTTATTATAAACATATAGAGCTATACTAGATAGTTGCCATCATCTGGAAAGTTAAGGGGATTATTGTAAAGCCTAAAGACACCCTTCAGCATTCTTAGATCAAAATTTGTCAGCCCATTGTGCACAGTATTTCATCTGATTTGTTAAAGGAACATTTTATCAAAATTAGAATAAAAAATTTCATATCCCATTAAACTGTTATTGTAATCAATGGTTAATTAACTAGAAAAATAAAGTTTTCTTTATACCACTTAGGGGTTTAAAACTTTTTTTATAATTTATCAATTTTTTTTAAAGAATAAAGTTCCAAAGCTTTTAACCCTTAACCTGGTTAAACTGGGAATGGTTACCTTTTACCACCAGTATAGAGCCAGGCCAGCCTGCACATCCAGTTAGTCTGACCAGGTTTTATACTGTTGGCTGACCAACCTCAAATTTTTATCTTGATATCAAGAAAATTGATAATGGACAGTTCAAAAAAAAGAAAGGCAGACAATACCATGGAAGAAATTTACCAGGTTAAGGGTCAAAGATTATGCAGTTTATGAACTGTTTGTTAAAAATAGGATAAGAATTATTTTTGTCTGTGATGTAATAATTGGATAACTACATGTAGTTAGTAACATATCGCTTTCAAATTATGTCTTAATTATTGTCAATCCAAAAGTGTCTCATTAATAAATGGAAATCTTTGACAGAATTATTATTTTTCTGATGATAAATGGGTAACACACTATCTTGTCATTGTCTCTGACTGCAGATGCAGAAAAATTTGTGGGATCAGTAGTTGGTCAATTGAAATAAGAAAGTACTGGACAGGTAAGCCGTTTAGGTGGATCAACTGCCAAGATGTGTTAATCATAAAAATCAAAACTGTCAAGGTCTGTGGCTAAGTGGTTATGGTTTAGTTCATATACTTGAATTCAATTGCCCCTTACCAATGTAAGTTTGAATCCTGCCAGGGACTTTCGATTCTTTCATGTTAGGAAGCTATTTACCTGGCTTACTTGGTCGGTGGTTCTAGTCAAATGTCTGTTTGTGCCTGAAATAAGGGAGTGGGGGCACCTGAGGTCTTCCTTAAACAGTAAAGCTGGAAAGTGAACATATCACCACTGCTGTGTTGGTACCATTAAAAGGCAACCACAAAAAATCAAAACTGTATGAATCCTGTCATGAAAGTCAAAAGTTCAGATAGTGTGTAGAAAGTCAGTGGTTTTTGTACTATTTGAGATGTAAAGTTATGATGTAATCGTCAGAATGACTAAAACTCCCAACTCTTAACACACCAAGGTTAATATATTATTTGCCATCTAATTATTAAAAAAAAGATATAAAAAAAATTCATGATTATGCTTTTTAATGCTTCTTTTGTGATTGAACCCTATCTGTCTATTGGTCGGGTTAATATTTTTCCTGAAGTTGAATTTTACTATATATGTATTACAATGTGCTTTAAAAGTATAAGTTCCTTACTCAGCTTAGTGAATTTCGTGTGTTTGCTATACTGTGTCTTTCACCCCCTTGGCACGTTCACTTTGTGTAGAGGCACAGGACATCAGCAGATAAGTGAAGATCCTCTGCCAGTTCGCATGCTTTTTATAGCTGGGGGTTTCGTTAAGGTGGCACGACTTAACTTGCCGATGTCCGGGGAGTTGCGAGAATCAAGTCTCGCGGGGTTTAAGCAGACTCGCTAGGATTTCCGGTAATTTCACATACGCAAAATTAGTGCTTGCCACATTATCTTTTAATAGTACTTGTAAATGAAAACACAAAAGATTTCTGTGAGTCAACAGGCGGAAGTCCAAACATTACTAAGTACATTGCCCCATTTCAAGCCGAAAGAAATGTTCAAACAATTACCTACGTAATAAAATTAATTAAAATCATTCCTCAATTTTTAACAACCCTTTTTATGTTAAATGTTTCAACCTTGTATGTCGTTGTTAGCTTCGGAAGTTTACTGCAAGTGAAAAGATACAATTAATGTAATTAACCTGGGACCAATATATATATATATATATATATTGGCCCCAGAATTAACGTACTTAACCTTATAACATCATATTCAGTTATTGCAATTTGCAACGTTATGTGAGCGTTTTTGCAAATTTTGAGAATGATTAATAGTGTTGCATCTACATTTATATATTTTCCTTGTCCAGGTTAACCGTAAACGTTGCACATATAAATAGTATTACGGTTTTTATTTGGCCAAGGTTTACTCCAGAAACAGATTTTGAGTATAGATATCTCTACCATATCAAATGTATTTTATGTGTAATATGACTATTAATATAAATGTATATATACAAATGAGTCACCATGATATCTTAGATTTCTGTTTACTTAACCCTTTCCCCCATGAGCATATTGTGAAAAATGGCCATTTTCACTGAAAAGCCTCCTGTTACAAGTTCAAACTGCTATAAAACTATGAAAAATGCTTCAATACTAATCAAACTTGGCACAAATGTTGACTGGACCATTGCCTTTGTATCGACATGCTCAGTCTTAAATTTCCTGTTACCATGGCAACGAGGGGACATCTCAAAATTGCCAAAAATCACTTTTTTGCCTCGATTTTTTCCATCAAAATTTATTTCAAAGTGCTGCAACTTCTCAAGGGATTGAGATAGAGTCAAAGGCTTTTCGGCGTTGGTTACACGTTACCTTATGATCGACCTGGGGTCATTTTAAGCCTCTCACAAGTCCAAAATTTTCTTGGCGATGAGGGGGACTCCGCCCCCCTTCAAACCCCCCAAACATGGTCACTTTTTTAACAACATTTCTCAAACAAAAGACAGTGTTTGGGGCCTAAATAGGGCATTTTTTCACTGTTTGAGGCCTCAAAAAAAGGGGGGGGGGGGCAAAAAGCCGTCGAAACACGCTTATATAAGGGAAAAGGTTAAAGGAAGTTGAAAGTTATTAAACAGATGAGTCACTTTCATAATTTATATCATATTCAACTACTTTGGATTAATGCATGTCCGTAACGTGTCTGCCAATTCTTTTCACTCAGTTTTATTGAAAAGTAACGCCGCTATTTGACCAACACTAACGTCGGTGCCGTTAGAGCTCCGGTTACTATTTATAAACTCAAATGTGACGCCGTCTGCAATATGTACGGAAGATCCATCCACACCTTTACTGGTAGGACTTCCCTTCATTATTACCATTATAGTGAAGATGCGTCTCGGGGGCACTCTGATTGGTCGAGCGTACATGGCGTCAAACGTACGCCGAAGGGCATCCGTAGTAATGCGTGCGTCATTTTTCCGTACCTCATCTTTCAAATCATCAAATAGAAAAAGTTTCATGTTATACGTTTCGCACCCTTTGGCCGCACCGAATACTTCAATACCATAAAGCACAATTGGACTTGAGCAAGTAAATGATATTGCGTCTGGTGGACCATTTTGCTTCCATTGCCCGTCATACGTTCTAAATCTCGATACACGGGACATGTTTGGGCTACTTGAGTACGAGATTGGAATCTGTGGCTTGACTTGTGGACGCTTTTTTGGAGTATCCTCGTAAATTAACGGAACTTCATTCGGGTCGCGTTGACGCTGTTGATTTTTTTCTTTCTTAGATGCAAACGGACGTTTCGTTTTTAATCTGTTGCGTTCATTTTTATTGAACAATTTTGAAAGTTGTCGCTCCTCTCCGTGGAAATACTGGTATATCGAGACGGCCTCGTCATGTGATAAAATATCACGAAAAGAGACCCTGTGCGTGAAATAACTCACGTCCATTGTTGGAAATCGTATAAGATACAGGAGTGGTCCCATAACTTCTCGACGATAGATATCAGTTGACGGTTTCTTTTGTCGTCTGCATTCATTCGTTGACCACAGAACCATTGCCTCGAAAATACTATCTTCGTCTGCTTTAATGTCGTCTGATCGTATTATAGCGCCAACACATTCGCTACATAGATCGTTAAACGCGTGCGTTTTTAAAACGTCAGTAGCATTCGACAAAATGTAGGTCAAACACTTGTCATGCAAGTTTGTCTCGTTGTAGATGTGAGCCTGCTCGAGGATTTTGCAGACGTTTGCAACTGACATGCCCGTCTCCAGATAACTAAAGCATAATTTTGAAAGTCCACTTAGTTGAAGTCGTCTTGCTGCATAGAGTAGTGACGTCACGTTGTCCGCATGGATATCAATATTTTCCGTGTACAAATATCTGAAATATATTTTATATGGCATTTTATACTATGTATAGTGTTATCTTATTGATTCAAACAACATTTACATAATTAACGGTCTTTCATTTATTAATAAGTTGTGTGAGACTACCAAGTGATTTGAAGTCAACGGATTTAACCACCTGGCCACGGACGCCCTTTCAATTCAATTTATAGAGGATATTTGTTTAGTTCAGTGTAAGATCGGAATATATTTCACCGAGTGAGCACCAAAAGGTATATTTCACGAGTGGCGTAGCCACGAGTGAAATATGAACGTTTGGTGTTCACGAGGTGAAATATATTTCGATCTTACACTAAACTAAACAAATTTTCTTTTTATTATATGCAAAGAAACGTTTAAAAAGACATTTTAACGTAATACTAAATGAAAAGCGCGCCAAATTATAAAACAATGTGACGTCATTTACGACGTCACGTCAATAAGTTGGTACCCAATACTGTGCACGCTGGTATTTCACTGAAACAAGGTAAGGGGCTTAAATTCTAAACAGTGAAATTATCAAAGTGGTAATTTCACTGTTTCAAACAGTGAAATTACCACTTTTATATCACTGATATATTTCTATAAACCACCGAAAAGCATGTAATAAAATGATTTTATATTTATTTATTTTTTCATTTCAGTGGTATTTTTTTAAAACACAAACGAAGTTAACCCAGTTACAATAAATACGTGTTTCTTCATGTTCTTATACATATATATGTGATTTGCGTGCTCATATATTTTAGAATATGAAGATTATTCCTATTGGCGCTCATTGTTGTTTCTTTTTCATTTACTTTGGGCATGGGGCGGGCGGGGAGGTGAACGATAGCTTGCACTATTACCTATTTCAATATTTTCAATGTTGCAGTGTTAAGAGTTGTTGCGGTGTTAAGAGTTTTTTAGTGATTCCGTTCTTCCACCCGACCTTTTGTTTACAAATATGCAGTACCTTTGTATTAGCCGGGTTCCCCATTATTAAATGAAAATTACCGTTTTAAACGTGGCCATACTTACGTTAGTACATATTTGAACGTTTCGAATGCCACGTCAGGAACGCTCACTGCTATATCCGTGTTGTCCATGTGATCTTTTAACGCCCTTAGAAGAACGGGACTGCGTGACATCGTGACGTATTTGTGAGCCCGTACTTCCTGTGAGTCATCACCAACAAGAAAAATGACATCAGTAGCGATTTCGTTATGAAGCATGTGAACGTTGGCTTCTATCAAAGATTTGCCAGTTTGCCAGTCGTCTCCCTTGATACATGTATGTATAAAATATATAACTTAAAATTGAATTAATTGGATTCAAATTAAATATTTTATATAGGGTCTGCCATTAGCATATGCCGCAGAAGATCAAAGATAACACAAGGATTTTAACTCATGGCCACGAGATAATAAAAAGGCACATGTCCCTATTGCGCATCCGTAAATTGCACTTATTTTGGCGAACCAGTTAAGATCTATATTTTTTATTATCTTATTAAAAGATTTTATCTACAGTATATGATTATTATTATGTCAAAGTGTTCAGTTGATTTATTGAGATATACGGTAAAAAAAATCTTTCAACCCGACATTAATTAATCCTTTGTAATAGGGAAGAAATATGAAACACCGGATGCTGGAGTACCAATTATAAAATATCATCAATATGGCAATATCTGACAGTGAAAAAAAACTGTCAATGTAATTTATTGACAGCTGTCAACAAACGTCAGAAAGTTGAAACAAGTTCGCTTTTTTGTTGTTTGTTAACTTCTGTCCTACATTTCAGATATCGGAAATACTTGAATGTATACATATGAACATATTAACACTCAAAGAGAAAAATGATCAAAATAAACTATTTTATGGCTTTGTTGTAATAAGGATTTTGTATGGAAGTCAAATTACAAGCTATTTTATTTATACTTTACGACACATAACTGCATGTTCGACGCTACTTTCATTCATTTAATCCATTATTAAACACATGTTTGACTGACATTTCGAAAAAAAAAAGAAATATGGATTTCTGAGGCATAATGTGTCTACCTATATAAGTACATGATAGCAGATCTGAAAAATACTACACTTTTCAAGTTTTTATCTCAACGCTCATTGGGCAATTGTTACGTCATTTTTTCATAGGATAATCATTACGTTTGCATAACCTGCATTCACGAGTGCAGTCGATCTATGCAAAAAATCTCTAATAAAAGAGGTTTGCGGTAAAGTAAAATTAACCGTTTATGTCTTTAAAACTAATAATGAACATGGCATCTGCAAAAAAATATCAATTTAAATTGTGACAAAGTGCAGTATTATAAATTATGTATAGACAGTACAAATTCAACATAATGGGTTTGCGACCAGCATGGATCCAGACCAGCCTGCGCATCCGCGCAGTCTGATCAGGATCCATGCTGTTCGCTTTCAGTTTCTCTACTTGTTATAGGGTTTGTAAGCGAACAGCATGGATCCTGATCAGACTGCGCGGATGCGCAGGCTGGTCTGGATCCATGCTGGTCGCAAACCCATTATGTTGGTTTTGTCGTGACACGGCTCAAATTATATATATACAGTACAAATTCGGCAAAGCTGTCATCTGTATAGCTATCACCTCTTTACAACAACAGTTTTATGTCTTTTTCACAATGAGATTTTACAATAAGTTTAACTAGCAACACCTATCAGCAACAACCAATATACATGAATTTGTTTAACAAAGAGTGTTTCCCTACTCTCGTAGGTTGTGTTGTAGACTTAAGACAGATGATATGACATTATATGACCTTATTGCTATACTGGTTTATTTACATAACCGGCTGTAATGCACCAAATTAACCATATAACCTATCAACTATCTTTATAGTTTATAACCAATAATATAACTCATATTGGATGTTCCAAATCCAAAAAGTTATAAAGTGAATTAGATTAAAAATGTTTTCATATACTTATAGTAATGTTATAACATAATTGTTAAAACGACCAATTCATTTTCTGTGTGCAAGACAATTGTTCTGACGATTCTCCAACCCATGCCCTGTTAATAGGGACTTCGTGCTGTTATAACCAACAAAAATCGGAAAAAATGTTAAAATATTCACATTTAAATCTAAAATGATATTCACCAATTAACAATTTACAAAACAATTTACAATTTTATAAAACTGATCTAAAAATGGGGGGAAATGAAAACTTAGATAAAAACAATTCATTGAAAATAAGTCGCTGAGAACTTGAGAGCTTACCATAATATAGTTATTTCCCAGTTCACACCTAACTACCAGTATAAATCCAGTACGTGATTTAGCTACATTCAAGTATGGGCAGCAATCTGATGGGCAACCGCCGTCCCGATTCCATTAGTATTTAGAACTCTGGTATATTTCTAGTACTTGTAAACAAGTATAAACAAACCCAACAGACGTCAAAACCAAATATAATATGATCACTTGAAATTTATATTTATTTATCTCTTACTGGAGATATTTGAATCAATCGAATGATGTAATTTCATTAGTGGATTTGTCGGTTTTGTTAAACAGTATATTGATAGCATTGATGGGACGGGTCTTTTTAAAATGTTCATTGAAAGCGTCATCGATTCATTGTCATCGATTCAGTTATCATCGTGTTTTAAACGGATGTGAATTCACGTGACAATCTGATCTAATGTTGTATACGATATATAGATGAAAACAGGGATAAATCAAATTAATGGATTGCCAACAGAATATTGGATTTTTCCAGTCAAAGCTGTACAAAAATTGAGTGCCATCATACTGGTTTATTAGCCCTTTCTTTAAAAATGAATAGATATTGTTCTTTAAAGAAAAGGAACGACGAATGAAATCTCGATATAAATAATGTAGTATGTGTTAATTGCATAGAAATCAACAAATAAATGTAAAATAAAAATGTTCTGCGGTAATAAAACATCAAAGTTGGAATCGAGACTTGGAAAATGAATAAAAGAATGACTGTCAATTAAAACACGACAAAGAAACTTGTTTTTTAAATTATACATATTGTGTATAGGTATATAGGGCATAGCAAATGAGTGTCTTCCAATCATTAGATATCATTACTGTAAGAATTGAATGAAATTGACAATAGCCTGTTTTTTTTTTGTTGTTTTTTTTTTGTTGTTTTTTTTTTGTCAGGAAAAAAGCCCACACTTTTAACATTCAAATAAGACAAACTTTTCGGAAATAACACAGATTTAACTCTGTTATAACAGAATTTAAATGCTTAAATAATACAAAATTACCACTAAAATAACTTAAAATAAGTAATTTGCCACAAATCTAACAGTAAAATAGCACATTTTTTTATACTGAAAAAGCACACATGTAAATTTTACACTAAAGTAATCAAATTTAACATTAAAACTAACTTAAATTTAACATTAAACTAATAGAAATCAAACATTTTATTAATTAAATGCATGTTAAAATTTATATGTTAATTTAGCAAATAGTTTTGTTTAGGTTGACTAACAGCATAACGGCACAGCATCATCAAATATACATATTATATGCACTATTCCTATTCCAAGTCGTCTGCTAGATATGTGATGGAATTATTTATCAAAATAACTGCTATTTCAGGCGATTGCCTACCAAGATAAAATAATATTTTGCCTTCACTAATGGTATTGGAACCATCTCGATAATTTATTATGGATTCTTTTGAAGGTATGGTTACTTTCTAACAAACTTTTAAAAGCAATTAGGCCCAATAATGCCAGACATATATTTTATTTTACAGGGATAAAGAAAAGTAAATGTATATGTGGGTTCAGTTATTGGCCAATGAGTAACCATTTGGAAAATATAACAGGACATCAAATAAATAAATAAATAAATAAATAAATAAATAAATAAATAAATGAATGAATGAATGAATGAATGAATGAATGAATGAATGAATGAATGAATGAATGGATGAATGAATGAATGAATGAATGAATAAAGGAATGAATGAATAAAGGAGTGAATGAATGAATAAATAAATAAAAATGATAATAAAATAAAAAAAACTTTTGAGAAATAAAAATAAAAACATTTCTCGGGTATCGTATTGGGCCTTTAAATGGAGTTCTGCGACGTGAACATCTCTACTTAACCTCTGATTTAATAAAAATTAAATATAGATCTGGCGACTGGCTAGAATATTTATTTCATATTGATCTAGGACCGAAATATCTGGCTAAACTATTCTTTGAAATGTATTGAAGGGCTGCGACATGAATATTTCCTTAAAAATATGTTACAAACTATATACATACAACTGAAGAAAATAAAATATATAGATCCATACGATTGAAAGCGAATAAAAACAATAAGACGTTGAATTGAATATAGTATAATATCTGGGAATAAGACAACTTGTTAAACATTTCTTCTCAAACAGGAAACACATAAGTCTGAAAAAAACATTGGCATTGCAACTTTTAGGCATATTTTTTTTATATCCATTGTTGAGATTTTTATTGTAAATAGAATCAGCAGACCTACTGTTTTCAAAATAATTCTCCAAACATGCTAAAAATTTAGGACACCCGACGCTTACATGTAAATGTGTCTTATTATAGAGACTGATTTAAAGAACTCTAATTTACTGAAAGGAAATAGTTTGATTATTCATGCATACATATAGATACAATCTGAAACTAAGTGAGACTAATATATTTGGTTTGATTGGTCTAATCCTTACATCACAACTGATAAAGCATGCTAAATTATTTAATGTCTGGCAATTTATTTGTTTACAATGGCTGCAAATTTATGCATGTTAGAATTAAAAATATTTATGTATCGTTTTCTTATTTTTTTCACATTTAAAGCAGCATGCCTCAAGATTCATGCTATTTTTCATGAAAATTTTGAAAATGTGTGTAAAAAGTAAAAAAAAACAAACTGTAAAGTGAACATAGAAAGTAATTTACACATTGCAAGCGACACTTACAATCCACGTCAATTACAAAGAAGATGTCAAAATGTACATTAATACCTCTTACTGCGTTAGTAACGAGTAGTATTATATGGTGATTAATACTGCAACATTAGTCATTAATGGCACATAACATGTAAATAATTAACTAAATATTGAATCTATTGTTTACTTTTCTTTTACTTTTCATGTTCGAACGTCACTTGTGTATCTAAAAATAACATTGTTCAACATGTTCAAAATGCACTATTGGGCTTTTGTTCACAGAGATGACGAACACTGGCGGCGTCTTACTGTAATTAGCGACTGAAATTGCTTCCTGAGAAAACAACACAATTGTCTGAAGCTTTATCTCTTAATACACCCACATTTATTTAGAACAATTATTCGACGGCATAAGAAGACTGGAGTGGTCATATACAGGAATGCTATTGAATTAATTCACAAAGGAAAAACAGGTTCCTACATGTATGTATTCCGCAAATTCTAATTTCAGTGATCATGTCAAACGGAACATCTACACCATCATTGCATATCTACAGAATTGTACGGACATTGTATTTAACTTTATTTGTTGATAAATATTGACAGGGTATGAATTTAACCTGGTAATGTAAATTGATCAAACATACTTTTGTTTGCCTGATTTAACAAAATATAAATAACAAAATATATCAGCTCTCAATTTATAAACTTTCAGGAGAATGACATCTTCAAAAAAGTGTGCCAAGCTGAAAATTGGCAATGGACATTTTCTCGACGTATAACCACAGTCGTTATACTCTTACGTGGCAGTTTTTTGTTTTACCTCATTTTCTAACAGAAAAAAATATTGTCATTTAGACAATTATACACTTTTAATAAAAAAAATATTGGAGAGAGGAATTCAATGACTGTTATATGAAGGATACAACTAAATTTACAGGACAGAACATTTAATTTTGTCATTCTCCCACGATAACAAATGACAGATTTCCAAATTATCACGTGATAATGTGCTTAACGAATGAAAATTCAAAGACAATTATAGGGCTAAAAAGTGAACATAGTAGTAAGGTGAAGTAAAGAGGATGTTGAAAAACTTTTGAGTAGCCAGACTTGTGGGATATTCGAACCCAAAATAAAATAAAAAAATAATAATAATAATAGATCTAATAAAAATCCTTGCTACCATCATTTCTCAAGAAGACAGATTCATATTATATAGAAGTACAGTCTGATCGCAAATGCTTTATTGCTTTTAAAAATGTAGGCCTACAACTTATCTGGTAAAGTGGACGTAGTTTGGTTGTATACCTACCGGGATACAACTAAAACCTACCGTCTGTTGCCTTATCAGATAAAGCTTAGTTTTTTAATTTTGCACCTTTGGGCGAATTGGCCTCTCTTAATATTGTGCGGTGTTTTGATTATGTGTTGCTTTTTGGCCTTTCTATCCGTTTTAAGGTGGTTATAGTTATTCATTTTAATTTTCCCGGTCTCAAATAAAGGGAAGCTACAACAATCTGCAAATATGAGAAACTGATAACATGATACTCCACACACAGTTACTTCCCTTTATGTAGGATCTCACTTTGTAGATTTATTCGGATAGTAAACCGGGTGGACGGTTTTAATTTTATTTTATATTTTAACTGGATTTATTTTGTTTTAGCAATGTTTTACAATTAAAATGGAGCTTGGTCATATAAAGTCACGTCTACAAGGTGTGAATATCTTACATGGAGGTGAGGAATGTTTATTTTATGTGAAAATATATATTCGTCCTTCATTTATTCGTACCCATTGGTAGCTTTTAAGTCAGAGTCTTTCAGACGGTACGTTACGATACCGAAATCAACTTGATTTCGGTAAAGTTACCGAAATCAACTTTTCATTACCGAAATCAACTTATAAAATCACAATTAAGCGTTTTATTATATTTTTTTCATAATAATCTAATACAATAGGTTAAGTTTGACTTTCATGCAAAAAATCAGTTCGAAATAATTATTAATAATGAAATTAGAAACAAATAACTAAATATCAAGATTATTCCCTGATTTGTCACGAACCGAAATATATGTTACAATACCGAAATCGACTTGTAAAATCATAATTAAGCGTTCTATTATATTTTTTTCATTATAATCTATTACAATAGGTTTAGTTTGACTTTCATGCAAAAAATCAGTTCGAAATAATTATTAATAATGAAATTAGAAACAAATAACTAAATATCAAGATTATTCCCTGATTTGTCACGAACCGAAATATATGTTACAATACCGAAATCGACTTGTAAAATCATAATTAAGCGTTCTATTATATTTTTTCCATTATAATCTATTACAATAGGTTTAGTTTGACTTTCATGCAAAAAATCAGTTCGAAATAATTATTAATAATGGAATTAGAAACAAATAACTAAATATCAAGATTTTTCCCTGATTTGTCACGAACCGAAATATATGTTACCATAACGAAATCGGCTTGTAAAAGTTAAAATAAACATTTTAATAGATCTTGTTTAATTAATTTATATAAAGTCATTCAAACTGAACCATAAACAACGGAAAATAATATTTAATTATAAAAATGATGATGTTATAGACGGATATGTATAATTATATCATGATTACTTCCCTTGTTATTAATGTGTTGCATTACCGAAATCAAATCAGATTTCATTTCAAAGATGAGAACAACCCCTAAATAATTTGCATGAATTTCAGAAATAGTTGATTGGAAATTATCACAGTAATTAATTTGAATCCAATGATTATGATTTGATTAAAATAAAGAGACGTAGCGGTAGCCATTCATCATAACACCTTTACTAATAAGGAGCAAGCATACACGTGCTCGGACAATGGAGGTGTTAGTTGACATAACATACTCGTTCACCGCAATCCTTTAATATACATCGGCGCATGGAAACTTTAAAGTATCCAAACAACATAATTAGACATAATTATTTTACATGAAATTAAAGCTGCTTGTCCCCATTAAGACAAAAAGTACATTACAGTTTAATATAAAATGACGTATAGCGACCATCCCTATATAATATGTATCAAAATACTTTTTTATATAGTTTTATGGTATAAATATTTCAGATCTAGTAAGCTGGTAAAAATATAATTTTATATTAAATAAATTGTCAAAAGATCTGTTTTAACTAACATATATAGGGGTGGTCGCTATTCGTTTCCGTAGAAAACATATCATATCATGATGTCCCGGATACTTAACTATATATTCTACTTATTGAAAAAGTGTTAAGTCATGATTTTATGTTGATCAATTTAAAATCATTTTAAATTTCATATCCGTGAACAGCATAAATTTATGGAATGACTGGTATTAATTTAAATAATGGAAAAAATGGAACACTTTATACTGACAAATTTCAATAATGAAATGTTGTAACTTGTCAATTTGACATGTTGTGTTTTACTGTATTAAGTTGGCATACAATGTATGTTAAAGATAAAAGATTATAATGAACCACCTGTTTATGTCGTAATAAACATTTAAATAAATGACTAAAATTTAAAAATATTATATTAAAGAGTCCTCATAACAAATGTTAGCGATTTGTTAATATATAGTTTAACTGTTCAATAAAAGAAAGACACAAACTTTCCAATTTCCAATTTTACTGCCTGATACATTATACAATTTTTATGGAACATTTTTAGAGCAGTCGAATTATATATCTGTATTCAAATTTATAATTAAGAAATAATATATCCCAAACTGTGATTTTATTGCTCAATAACATCACTGTTTGGAGTTCGGATGCGGGGAATTATATCACGAGGGCGTAGCCCGAGTGATATAATGATGCGCATCCGAACGACAAACAGTGATTTTATCAAGCAATAAAATCACCGATTTGGATATATTATTACATTACATGAAAAACATTTTCTATCATTTAAAGGTGTATTATTTGGTTTAGTTTATCTACCTGATTCTATGTGCAATCTATGAGATGATACTCTTAACCTAGTGAGATCTTTACAAAACCGTTCAACATTGAAAATATTTAGATATGGTTGAAACTTAAAAACAGAAATATGTCTATAAATAGAGCTCTACTAGAGTTATCTAATCTATTATCTACTAATTATATATATAATTTAAACTTCACAGCTGATTTCGGTAACGGGTTGTTTTAAAACAAAGGGAAGTAACTCAATAATTACATTTTTGTTAATAACATCATTAAAATACAATATTTTCAATAGATTTTTTAAATGAAAGTATATTTCATTATTTTTCATCAAATAATAAAGAAATAATAGCAATATTATAACTAGTTTGGTTTTTACGAGTTGATTTCGGTAATGAAAAGTTGATTTCGGTAACTTTACCGAAATCAAGTTGATTTCGGTATCGTAACGTACCCTCTTTCAGAATATGAAAATGATCATTTTTTAAATAAATTTGGTACACAGCCTAGGAGTGTTTACAGTTAAATACTTGCTTGTTTTTTTAACAAAGTTTATACAGTATTTATGATTAATAATTCTAATTCGATTATTAATGTTTAAACTGTGTTATTATTGAAAATTTATAAAACTAGATGAATAGAAGTATCATGTGACTTCATGTGAACATAAAAACCATCAGATAAATCTGTATTTAAATGATATTTTCTTCTAAAGACTTTAAAAAAACTTGAAAAATATGACACTTCTGTACATATTTAAAACACAGTACAAAAAACACATACATGTGAACAAAGGAAAACATGATTAATTTGTGGCTTATATTGTGATATTAAACATTGACACATTTGTTGTCAACAGCCTTATTAAATCATTATGTTAAGCTTTGATGAAGAAAATAAACACTGTTTTTTAAAGAGATCGGGTGAAGGAACCTAAAGTTACATTTAGATTCTACAGCCTATAAAATATGAATACAGACAATATACATCATTTATTATTTACATATAAATTTCAGTGTTTAAGATGATATTTTAAATTTTGAATCCAGATTGAATTGTAGACTAATACATATAGTTATTGAATTGTTACAAATTTTGGAGTAAGCCTAAGGTATGACAATACTACATACTAAGTTAACAGTTTGTGATTCATGATGGCACCATGCACACCCAATAATTATATGAGGTTGTTATTTACTCATAAATTGACTGTATTTTGAATGATGTTGTTTATTAATTTAATTTTTAAACTTAAATAATACAAAATAAATTGACTGTATTTTGAATGATGTTGTTTATTAATTTAATTTTTAAACTTAAATAATACAAATGAATTAACAGGTTGCAGGATTTTGAAACATTGATGCCAATTTTAAGTAAAGATTCTGTTAGTGTACATGTATGAAAATTGTTCAACTAATTAAATTTACTTGTTTGAGCCCCTTTTATAAATTAGATGAAATGTGAAAACTTTTTAAGCTCATATAAAATTCTTCATTTAATTTTTGTAGAGTATTAGAAGCATGATTTTTTTTTGTTGAAACATACATATTTAATAAAGAAATAACTTTTCAAATGAACTATATATAATGTATAACTGTATAATAATATAAAGACAATATTGCACATTTCTATGTAGATGAAAGACAGGGACTGGGTCTCAAATCTAATTCTTTTTAAATTTTAAAGTTTTACCTTAATTTTGTTATAAATTTTTATTCAGAATGACAGTGAAAGATAAACCACTGAATGTCAAAAGAATTTACCTGTAACATTAAATATTGCTGTAACTGATGGTTTTACATAATAGGTGTTTTTTCGTAAATTAATTAGATGTGCATTTCTTTTCAAGTCAAAAAGTAATTTCTTGAGATTTTATATAATCTGCATGTTCAAAATTCAATTTTTCTTTATTTATTTGTTTAAAACTATTTAGAGTACAATTATAATTTCCTTACTTCTATGTTATTTATATTATGGACACAAAATATGTTTATTATATAAAATTTCCTTTCCCTTTCTATAAATACATTTTTACAAAACATTAATTCCAGTGTCAATGGTTTTTTTCGTAATAGGTGCCAATTCAAGTTACAAGAAGTTTAGCAGTCACTTGTATTGAATAGGTTTGTAATGGTACAGAACTCAGGAATTCTAGGCAGGTTGATTTTCAGTCGGGTTCTAACATTACAGGGCTCACTCTCCCATTAGGCATTTAAGTTGTTTGTCAAAATTTTATTACTTTAGCTACAAAAATTTTTACTTCAAAGTTTGGCTACAGGATTTCAGAGCAATGTTATGCTTTTTTTATATATTAAATTTAGTAGAAAATTTTGCTTAAAGAATTTTCAACCAGGGTCAGCCCAGAAAGATGCTTTTCTTGTAATTTAAAGAAAAAAAATGAAAATTTCTTTGCAAACTACCATAAGTACTTTATATATATTCTTTGTGGTACATATTAGGATAAAGAAATAAAACTGGTATGAAATTTGGCTATAATGTAAACAATTTTAGAATTTATACATTATTGTTATACAACGTCACTGAGACGTGAAATACAAGTTAAGAAAGTTGTGATACCATGTGATTAATAATGTAAACTACACTCAGTCACTTTGAGGCCAAAAGAAACTTAAATATTTGATTGTTAAATTGTTTGTTAAGGATTTAGACAGTATATTGAAATGTTCCTTTTTTTTTAAAAAAACACATACAAAAATGTTTATTAAAGTTAATTGGGTTAATGAAAGCAATTGGAATTTTATTGTGAAATTAGAAACAAACATT